TCCCTGGTTAAGATCTGCAGCCACTGCCTTCTGAATAAAACCATCTCCAATCTCAGAGCCTTGCTTGAAATGGACTCTTGGAAATACCATTGTTAGAATCGGAAAGCATGGAATTTTCCATTGAATGGTGGAAAGCCTATCCACATGGATTATTTGGAAGACCTTTTCTTGAGTGTCAGCTGCAAGAAAAAAAATACCCTTAATTTCCACTTTTTCTGTACAAGGTACAAGAACTTGGTTGGAGAATTACTGTTAAAATGTTCATTTATAATCACTATTAATCCCATTTTTTCTTTGAAGTGACATGCTCTTTTAAAAGGGAACAAACAAACCGAATTTAAGTATACTATTCCTTTGAAAACTTCCTACTTTTTAGCCATTAGGACTGCTTTCCTAACAAATATAGTATTGAAACTGAGAAATATTTTTACAGAGTATCTAAAAGTACTAAGGGTTATCACTCTTGCCAAATCTGTTGGATATGATAAGTCACAACACAAACACTTCATAAAAACTTCATGGTCTATAACATACCAATGGTTATAGATTCAGTTGACAATGCTGCCAATTGATAACCTGCTTCATTTCTCTTGATAACCTGCAAGTGTTTGTTTCAGGAAAAAAAAAAACAATTATCCTGGGGAGGGGGTACTCATCACAATTCTTAGTGGGGGTGTGCCGCCTGGCCCTCTAAATCCTGACCCGATTTCAGACCAAAATATGCCATTTCCCACACCTGTTTTCAGAGCCGACCTGAAAAATCTATACCCTTTTTCAGACCTGGTTTCTGAAAGTTGCACTCGATTTGTGTACCCTTTCAAGTGAAGTCAACCTGTCTCTTAAGCATTTTGTTATTATTTAGTGGTACAGGGCACTGATCATTGGCACGGCCACAAAATTCTACAGTAAATAAAACTGCATCCCGTGAAAACCCTACCAGATTTCAGACCAAAAAGGTCAAAAACTAAAAAGGTCAAAAACTAAAAATGTTTGCAGACCAAAACAGCTCAAAAACCATACCCTTTGGAATGGAACATACCTATATAGCCTCATAGGGGAGTACCCTCCCTCCAGGCATTTATCGGAGAGCAGATTTGTAGCATCAAGTATTCCAGTACTGCACCTTTAATTTGTACAAAACTAAGTGAAAGAAAAATCTTTCAATTTGCAATAAAATATTATTTTATATGTACAAAATATTTCCACCAACCTTTGTAAAAAGATGAAAATTGTTAACTTTTTCCCAACTCTTGATGTTAACATTACCAACTGCCAGTTCATTTGAAAAGATGGAATCCAGATTACTAAAATGTTAAGGAGAACACGTGTAGTGTTTAATGTCCATTAGACAGGACATTTACACAGTGGGATCTCACTTTTTGAACCTCCTAATATTAATGCCAGTGAAAGATAAGTTGGTTTGAGAAATCAAGGGTGAAATAACCAAACTGCATTGAGGGTAAGTTTTCAAGAGACTCTTCTAGGGGATCCTAAAATTGATATTCAAAATTTAATTATAAAATGTGTTATGCAACAATTTCAACAATGATACTATCCACAGAGGTGCTGGACATCCATGAGTGGGTCAGTGTCCCACCTCTGATGTGGGACAGTACAACATGTTTCGTCATTAAACACCGTCTGATGGTTAACCACTGCCATGGCCTTGTGGAAGTTTGCTAGTGCTAGTGCCTCCAGGATATCCCCTGTTGCTGACAAATGGAATGCACAATGAATGCCAATACCTTTGAGGTTTTTCAAGTAATCACACCCAGCAGCAATGCACATTTCTTGAAACTGCCTCATGGTAACCTTAAGCCCTTCTAGGATTTCAAAGAGGTCAAAAACATCCCCATCACCACTTAGTGTGACTTTAAACATAACCTTAATTGAAAACAAACAAAACAATCATTTTAGGACTTCGATACTCTCTTCATCTAACAAGAAGTAAAATGTATTTAAGTTATCTCATTATACCGTGTATAAATATTGGTTGTTGTGATGCAAATAAAAAATTATTAAAAATAATGACATGGAATTCATTGTTAAGAGTGAGTAACAAAGATGTTGATTTTTTAATATCTGAACAAACTTGAATGGAACAGAAAAAACAAACTTCCACAGGTTTAATTTGTCAGTCTCAGACCAAATTGCAAGCCTAGTTTCTTTGAGTTATTTATGTACTTATTTCTTTATATATACAAGGATTGCACCTCTGACCTTTTTACAACCAAACACCAAGAGATCAGAATCTTCTGTTGGGGCAAAATCTGCATGTCATCTTGCCAGCAGATAAGCTATCTGAGCATCCGATTCATAGGGGGAAACGATGCACTGAACTTTTTCAGCCAAACAAATCTGCATCAGAAGACAAGAAAACAACTGAAAATTATGCTACATTACTACAAGCTACTATAAGTTTTTATGACGTCTTATTTTGCCATATCCACTACTATTAAAATTTATTTTAGCAATAATAATCAAGTCTAATCAGTGTTTTTTATTTAGTAACATTGCACGAGCAAAAGTGAAGCAAGATTACAAGAATACTTAACTTACATTTATGCACTGGGTGATATCGTCAAATGTAATTTCCATGGCTTGACTTCAAAGCTTGTTTGCTTCTTTGGAAGAAATGTTACCTTCCGCAGCTTTACTGAGGGGATTTTCTTTTTCTCTAAGCGATCGTAGAGAAGAAAACACTCATAAGTTTGCATTAAAATCACATGCAAATTGTGGGAATGATAAAAGAAAATTTTTCTCACCTTTGTCTCCTATCATTTTCCCGTGCTTTGCCCAGCAAAGGCAAACCGTCAAACATGACAAATGGGGGAACACCAGCCTTTTTCACTGAATGTAGACATTTCTGGAAAATTTCACCGCACCTTAAGTTGGAAAAATTATGAAATGACGAACTTTGAGCATGAGAGAATCAGATTGATCGAAAATTTCAAAATATTTCTCACCTATATCGCCTTGCACTCTGCACGAAAGACACACTCAAACCCTTGTGCAGCCAGCAGGCAGCATCAGTAGCTGCTGTTTGGCCAAAAAGATCACGGAGATTCCTTTTTTTGCAAAACTTAAGAATAAATGGCAGCAGACCGTGAATCCCCATTACGCATTCAGTATTAAGAGACGTGCACTCGACCACGTCAAGGAGTAAATGATAATATTTTAACTGAACAACCAAACTGCAACACAATCGTAGTACGTACACCACCTGCATGATGGGTAAACATCGCCAGACAAAGCTGTATGCAAAATAACTTGATTTAAACAGTCTGCTGAATGTACCTAGACCTCAAGGTGAGGAGAACAAGAAATGGGCTTGAGAGATCAGGGGTGAAATTAGAGAGGTCTTTTTTATATATATATGGACATTGATTTCCAGTTTCATTTGGGTTCAGCAAATACAGATTTTAATGTATAAATGTTTGGAGATAATATGTCTTGAGTATGTGTATGAGTATGTGAATTTTTTTTTCCACTGCATACATGTTCTGACTCACTTTTTTTAAAGCTAGTAACTGAAGATTATGTATTAATGCAATGAACTGTTAACTGGTTATCTGACTGACATACTAGTTTCCTTTTTTGAATTGCAGCTGCTAACCTGCATCAACCCAAGCATGAAATTCAAGCAGGCCACACCAGAAGGGGGAAAGAAAATTTAGTGGGATTGCTGTGGCCCTGAACCCCCTTATTAATCTTCTCACAGAAAAAGGAGTCCAACCCCCAACTGCTGAGATGATAAAAAACAACATAAATATTCACAACACTGGGGCAACAAAAAAAGCTAAACAGGTTTCAATGTTAAAGCAAATGGCACGACCATGTCAAGGTGATGTAATGCCACTCAAACCAAATTCAAGATATGTGTCCTCATTAAGAAGAGTGCCTTTTCTCCAGAGGATTGGGAGATCTTTGAAGCTTGTAAGTATATCATTATATATTTCAAATGTCATAATCCATTTGTAGACTGATTTAGTAATTAATCTACGTTTTTGTTTGTCATCATTTGCTAATTAAATTTCCTTCAGAAGCAACAATGTAATTATCAGTTAAAGCAATTTCAAAAATTTAAAACCTGTCCAGGGCCGTAACCAGGTTGATCCACAAATTAAAATAGTTAACACTGGTTAAAATTTTAAACAATGTTGAAAACATGAAAACATTCCTAAGGATTAGGTTAACTCTCAAGAGTATTAAATTAACCTTTTAATGTGTGTAGCAATTTTAAACATAATGTCAATAATATTGTGTATTGCTTGCACCTAATTGATGATTTTGGCTTTTTTCTATTTTAACTACAGTTTTTGGAATGAACAAACAAACAGAACATGAAGAGAAAGGTATGTCAATGTGGTAGTCAATTAAATCTATATATAATTTACTGCCAGCTAGGACCTCCCTTAAAAGAAAGCCTTCAAAAGTCCCAATGTCATTGATTGATGTGTTAACGGTAGAATCCAGCGGGCAATTGTAACTACTAATTTCATTTTTTGGACCTTGCGAGTGACCTCCCATTCAAGGTGGAAGCTTTTTTGAGGTTTGCTGCTTAATGGAATAAACAATTGATGGGATTTCACATTACAGCAATTTCATTGTAAGTAGAGAAATATGATCACTTCCAGGTAGATGTGACTATTTTGTTCTCTGTTCATCCAGACAATGAGCTCGACTCAGTGAGCCCAGCACCATCTGAACCCTCCACCAGCAATGAAAAAGTGCAGCTGCAGGATCCAGACAACACTGACAGAAGTGCGCTATCTCAACCCTCCACCAGCAGTGAAAAAGTGCAGCTGGAAAATCCAGACAACACTGGGAGACATGCACCATCTCCACCCTCCAGTGAAAAAGGGAAGCTGCAGAATCCAGACAACACTGGCAGA